CACCTCCTGGCACAGTCGGGGGGATGTGGGTGCAGAGGCTGGTGCAGTGCTGTGTTTCGCGGGGGGCCCACCTGGAGTGTAAGTCAGCACCCAGCCCTAACAGAAGGGAGAGGCGCTGCACTCCAGAGGAACTTCCTAAGTCCTGGAGAACTCATATTCAGGCCGGCGCAGCAGTCCCCCAAAGACAGGGACTGCGGTCGGCTCCCACGGGGTTTGCCTCTGTCCGCGGGGAAACCGGTCCCACCCAGGGAGGCATTTTTATTTCTAACATTCTGGAAGCATGCCATCTGTAATCAGAGTTTGTTCACTCTGAATTAACTGCAAATGATTAAATCAGTCTTTAAAATACTTTACTACAAGCAATCAAGCACAGCTCTGATTCCCTGGGGGGCTAGAATTTCTGTTCCCTGATCATTTGCCTCCGAATAACTCTGTGCATTAAAAGAAAAGAAAAATGTGCTTCTTAGGTTTCTTTGGGTTTGACCCTGGAGATGTGTTTCCAACTAACCTTTAAAGATGATGTCCAAGGACTTGATATTTCCTTGCTGGTTTTTAAAACAACCATGACACATTGTTGTATTTAATGACCTGAAGAAAATGTCTTGTGTACTTCAACGTACACAAGAAAGGAGGAATTCATAAGGGAATAGCAATTGTCTACTTAGGTTCTAAATATTTGTCTATTAGTTTTTGCACAAGCTGATTCTAATGGAGAGGGCACACTGAGGTTTAATTGTGAGTTAATCTATAAGTTGAGACTCAGTCACCTGTGTTTGTTCATGAACAGTCCCAGAGTACAATGACACAAGTACACCCAGCCCAGCTGCACTGCTGTGCCTTCCCTCCCCTCCCCTTTCCTTCTCTTCCTCCTTCTTTTTGTGGTAGAATGATTTTTATTGTGATATAGTGTGATATATATAATATGGCATAATATATATTATATTTATATATTATTATATATAATATGTATATTATAATATTATATATAATGTATTATATTATAATATATATAATATATATAATGGAGTATTGCTCAGTCCCCAGGAAGAATGAAATCCTGGCACTTTCAGCAAAATGGATGGATCATATGATGTTGAGTAAAATAAGCTAGATACAGAAAGACACACACACACACACACACACACATGCATACACACACACACACACACACACATATATATATATATATAAATAACCTTTCCCTTTTGGTGTACGGTTCAGTGACATTGAGTACATTCTCAGTATTGGGCAACTATATCCACTATTCACAGAGCATGTTCATCACCCCTCGAAGCACTGCACCCACTGAACAGTCGCAGCATTGCAGTGTCCTTCCTCCATCACACCTGGAGGCCTCTATTCCACTTCCTGTCTCCATGGACTTCCTTCTCTGGGTGCCTCTTACAGGGGGAATTGCCCCCTCCTTTCACTTGGCCTGATGTCACAGTGTGGACCAGAGCTTCACTTCTCCCTTAGGATGAGTACTGTTCCCCGGCTGGACACTCTGCCTTTTGTTTGTCCCTTCATCGGCTGATGGATGCTTGTTCCTATCTTCTGGCTTTTATGTGTCGTGTCGTACTGCTGCGAAGGGGTGGTGTGTGTGGCATATCTGTTCCAGTCTCTGCTTCTAGTCCCCTGGGGGTGTGCCTGGGGGTGGAAGTGCTGGGACTCATGGTAATCCTATGCTCGTTGGGGATCCCTCAACTGTGTTTCGCAGTGGTTGCACCCTTTCACATCCCCTTGCAGGACAAGGACTTCTCCCCAAATATTTGCAGCCTTCTCTAAGGGGTTTCATATCCCTCCTGCTCTGTCCACCGGGCCCACTTAACATGTGAGTGGATGTGGTGGCAGGTTGAGACGCATGGTGAGTCCTCAGTCCCTGGCCTGAGGTCAGCCTGCGGCTATGAGTGCTGCACCCCAGGGCTAGCAGCCCCACGGCGGATGCTTGCCTGCAGCCCACACAAATGAGGCCTGGAGTCGTCTCCAGCCTCTTTCACACCTCCTTTCATTTCACCTGCTTTCCTTCGGCTCGATCATTTCTTCATTCCAGGGTCTTTTACACGTGTCATTTCATGCCCCCGTAATAAGCTCGCCCACAGAACCTGTGATTGTTCAATTCACTGATTATTAGGCTGAAGTGTATGAAGCGGTCATTGGTCCAAGGTCATTGCAGTCTGACGGTTTCTCAGGGTTAACAAAAGTCAATGCAGAAAGGGTGGTAGCCAGGTAATGTGCTCCAGACTTGCTCCACAGCCCATCAACTCCCCTCGTCAAGCCTGGAATGACTCGTCTCCCCATCTCAAAGATGGGAAATGTGAGGTCCAGGTTCATCAAGTCCATTTCAGCCTCTTAATTATGGCACTGCTATTCAACATACCCTTCCCATGTCCTTCTCTGCTTCCACACTGCTGCTGGAGGTGACATCCATTTGTGTTCACATTATGTCTCTGAAGCTTTGTTCAGCATGTAATATTGTCATTCTTCCCCGTTCACAGGTGAAGAAACTGAGGCTCAGCTCATGACAGTGCTTGCTGGTCAACAACCGCTGTCTAAGGGGCCAACATAAACAGGTGCTGTTCTTCCTGGTAGGAGAGCTGAAGAGCCATGGTCCATCTTGCCTGTGGATGGCATCCGCCCTGACCACAGCACCACACTGTCTGTCTGGCTTCCCCCTGGAAGATGGTCTGCTCAAAGCACCTCTCATGCTGCAGAGCCTGTCCTTCAGACCCCAAATCAATCAGTGCCACTAACAACATCACATTCACCATCAAAGGTGCAAGTCTTCACAGCAAGAATTTTGTTATCTTAGCAGAAAAGCTGGGGTGAGCATCCTGCAGGGCACTTATTGTAAAAATCAGCTTTTTGATCAAATGTTGTCCATGGTCAATGTTTCTGAAAGCCAATAGGGAAGTTTCAAGTGAAGCAACACTTAAAATTCACAATCCCAAGCGCAGCATCTGTTGTCCAAATGGGTGGGTTTTCTGCCAAAGGACAGTTCACATATTTAGCAACCTAAACCCCCCACCCACTATGAGCCACTTACTTGTTTTCTACCCCCTTTTCCACCTCCCAAGTTCTGGGGAATCTGAAGCTTCCCCAGGGATTTGGGAATTTATCATTCCGGGAACATTCATCAAAAGCTTTAAAAAGTTAAATCTGGCTACAGGACTTTTCCCTTCCTGTCCCAAATTCAAATTCTACCCCATGTGAGTCTTATGTTTATGTTGTCAAACTTAACAAATCTATAGGAATAAGAGAATTTGAGGGAAGCTACAGAGCTGTCTTAAAAACATGTATCCAAAATTACATCAAAAATACAAATAATTACAATGTATCTATTTGTCTGGGGAATGTTGAAGTGTAAACAAAGTGAACCTTCAATCATTTAAAAAAATAGACATGTCTTTAGTGCTTTCAATAGGTAGGTGATTCTATTTTTATGTTCTGTTGATGGACTGGTAGAGAAATATTTAAAATAGAAACAAATAAAAGGAAACCCTTGCTTCATTGATTAGAATATGTTTTAAATTATAGGATAAAATCACCAACTCCTGATCCCCAGCCAAAAACATTAAGTAGATCCAGATGTCATAGATATGAATCCAGTTGTTTACATCACATCTTAAAAGCAGACATTCAATCTTGCAAAGATACTAGGTGATGTATCAGATAGTCTAAAATATCAAGGACAGAGAACAGATGTTTGTTTTGTATAAAAAGAATACAGTGAAACAAATGCTCAAGAGTGATCTTGGATATACATCCACTCTCCCCAATAACTGAATGTGTTCAGCTCAATGAGATTTTCCTAGTACACACCCTTTCTCTTGGCATAAAGTTTCCTATGAGAGTCAATCATTAGGGGGCAAAGAATAATGATATAAAAGGAATAAATCTCCAATTTAAAGTTTGAGTTAATGTGGTGCATAAATTGACTCCAAACTCATTCCCTAGCAAGACCCTCTTTAAAACATGTGGATCTCCCTGCTTTGGCCATTTGGATCTTTCTCCAACATGGGTGTGCCATCTGTCTATAACATCTGTCATGCCCTTGATTGCCAAAGTCAATTTGCATGATTAGACTGGCATCTTTATCGCTGGTATATTTCTGATTACTTGTTTCTCTTCTCACCCAAAGAGGTGTAGTTCCACATGGACGAAAATTACAAAAATCATGTTATCCAAGCCTAAAATTGGAACACTCATCTTTTGAGGACCCTGACTGTAATTAGGTGTGCAAGGGGCTACAACCTCTGAGCTGCCTGAAGTATCCAGGACGGATGGTCATTAGCCTCAAGAAGTCATTAGCTGAAGTCCAAGGGTAATCATTAAATGCTAATGTCCTCATAGCACTTTCCGGTCCAGACTGATCTCCCTTCAAGAAGTTGCTACATTTGAATGAGAGAGACTCTAAAAGGCATTTAGGGTTTGTGATACATCTAATTTTTTTAATTTAATATTCATATTATTACAACACATATTTTTTGAAAGCCAATGTATATCTATATGACACAGATTTAGACTTCTGAGCTGATGTCACCATCTTCAGTCACTGGAAACCGGAGGACAGCTGGGATCGGGGACTGAAGGAGTTGGCGTTAGAATGGGGAGCACGCCACTCTTGGCTGCTCATTGAGCCTCTGTCTCAGGTGGAACACACAATCCCTGCTGGGTCCCTTTTCAGAAAGGCCCTGCTTTCTGGATCACACTCCTGGAAGCCTTAGCCCCATTGACTGAGCTGCAGATACTGGATTTCCTGGGGAGCCACAGGTCGCAGAGGGGAGGGTGGACCATGTGTGACGTCTAGAGGCCAAGCCTCCCAGGAGCCGTGATGTCCAGCCCGGTCTTAGTCCACTGTCTGTTTTCATGAACACTATGCCACAGACTCGAGAGGTTACCAAGAAAAGAGGTTTGTTTGGGCTCGTGGTTCTGGTCCAGGGTCAGGAGCTGACTCTGGTGATGGGTCTGCAGAGTCCAGAGGCAGCACTGATGGTCACATGGGGAAAGACAGGGAACATGAGGGTGTATCTCCTCTGTTCTCTCTTTCTGATAGAGCCGCCAGGAGTCAATCACAGGGCCTCCACTTTGATGGCCTTGTCTGACCCTAATCCCAAAGTCCCACCTGTACACGCCACAGCCAGTGAAGTTCCCACAATGGGGATTGACACTCAAGCCACAGCAAGCCCCGTCTGTAAAGGTACAGTGTGGGTGAAGGAAGAGGCTGTACCGTGACAGAGGTCAACCTCCTGCTAGAGAGGAAGACATTGGCAGGGCTGGGGAGTGCAGAGAGACAGGCCCAGACCACTTGGCTTCTAGAACTGAGCAGTTAGTGTCCAGGCCCAGCCCAGCAGCACAACAGTGAGGCAGCATCTCAGGGATAAGTACATTTCTAGGAAAGCAGGCTGGGAAAGTTTTTTGATGCTTTATTATGCACTGAGTTTTTTTACAACTCTTGGTAATATTAATAATACACACTTAGTCATACCTTAATAGTCATCCCATTAACTACCTCTATTAAAAAAAGGAGCTACGTGAAATAGAATCAGAATTTGGTATCTAGGGAAAAAAATCATCAGAGTTGCATAATATGGATTTCCCCCTGAACATTTGAGGCTGCTCCCACCCTCCTTCCACTCACCCACAGGGACAGACATCATGGATTCAAGGAGCAGTTACTTATTTGCTGAACTTGAAATGTGAGAAAAATAAAAGTGGCTTTTTGTTGTCCCCTCCTGACATAGGAGCAATATTTACCTCCAGGACATGATTGCTCTTTCCAGAGCTGTCTGCCTGAGAGCACAATTAGCTATGAACCTTCCTGCCCTGGTGGAAGTGGGGAAATGAAGAAGTAGGAAGAGGGAGGCAGTTACCTTGCTCCTTAAGGAGGGATGCCCAAGACTGTGGGAAGCTGCAGAGTACCTAATCCCCACATTCAAGAAGAAACACATCTCTCTGGCTCTTTGAAGCAAGTCCTCTGTGAGTTGCATGTCTAGGGTTAGAGAACCAGTCTTTGAATTCTTACTACTGATGATAGGCAAATCCACACCTAAACTACAAGTTACAATGAAACTTAAGGATATATTTTTATATTATTCATTTGTCTGAAAGCAAAATGATTCTGAATCTGTTTTAGAAATGCACATATATATCTTTGTTTCCAAAATCATTAGCCAAACAGAAAATGCATCTATGACTTCAAGCAGATGGAGACACCCTCAGCCCCACCTACCGACAGCTGTTGCTTTGTTGTGGAGGAAGACATGCAATGGGGTAGGATACCAAATGATCACTGGCAGTCCTCGGAGTCCCAAAGCCAGTACACAAATGCAAAATGAAACATCTTTCCAAGCTATGAGCTGCAGGATACCCAATCAGGGCAAATGAACAATGAACATGCAGACCTCAAGGGATGCCTCCTTCTCCTCCTCCTCCTCCTCCTCCTCCTCCTTCTCTTCCTCCTCCTCTTCCCCCTCCATTTTCTTCCCTTTCATCAGTTGCTTGGACAGGTCATCACAGCATCTCCATCTCCGCAGGATGGAGGAGGTGAGCTTGCTCACAAGGTCTGAGGTCTGTCTGTGCTCAGCTTCCTTCTGATCTAGGGAGGAAGAGTGGCTCCATTGTCTGTGACTCCAGCAAACAGAGAGAAATGACCTCCGGGTAGACAGAGGATGAGCAGTCAGCTCATCTGGTAAACCACCTAAGACTAGGCATCGGACATAGAAGGACCCTGTGACACTGTGTGGCTTCTACTGTCACAAATGCAAACATGTGTTTTCCTTTTTCATTAAACGTTTTATTTTGAGAAAATTGAAGATTTTCATGCACTTTTAAGAAAGCCTATAGGAAGATCCCTGTATTATGTTCCCAGTTTTCTCAATGGTAACATCTTGCAAGATGATGGATATTGACATGGATGTAATCTCTTGACATGTGTCATGCTTTTGAAATCAATTTAACTCTGTGAAAAAGTAGCAAAGCTATAAACATCCCTAAGGTTAAGCGAACAATCTTGAGATGACATGTTATATATTTATGTACAGGATGCTTTGTTGGCTGGGCAAGGAACAGCAGGTGCTGATAAGTCACTGAATCCTGGCTGTTTTGAAGTGACCCATTTCCTCATTGGCAGCATTTACCACGGAGGAGGAACATTTTTACATTTTGTTTCAGTTTAGCATTTCCTAAAATTAAGATGATAGAGTGTCCAGCAGGGAATGCACCAGCAATCATTACGCAGAGCAGAAAGAGGAAGCTTCCAAACTGCACAATTTGAGCACAGAACAAAATAGTCATTGCGTAGTGGGAGAAGTAGAGGATTAGGAATGACAGGATGGAGAGCAGTGCGTTGACGTGGGGATTCCTGCAGGGGTCCCTGGTGCCCATGGTTCTCATCTGCTGAGTATGTCTCCCCAGGGAGAAAACCAAGAGCAGAACCGCAACGAGGAAGATAAGTAACGGTGGCACGAGTCCCGAAATGAAAATATAAAATGGTTCAGAAGGTGTGTCTTCAGTTTTAGTCCTATTTTTGGAGAAATAGTTCTCAATGACTCCTTTGTAAATTGGCCACATATATTTGCTTTGGAGGCCAGAATTGATCAATGAGTGGAGCAGAGACCCCAGGATCAGCCACGGCACCAACTTGGATATCCTCATCTTCAGCCAGAAGAATATAGGGTGTGGAATGGTGGCGATCTTGGCACAGTAGAAAACGCCAAGCCACGTGGCAAACCAAAGCCCCAGTTCATTTACAAACATGAAAATTAGAAAATTATCAATAAGCACAGACTCTTTCACCAAGGAGAGAGCAACCAGATGGACGTTAAAGATCATCACCTGCATACAGATCCTAGTCGTCGCCAAGCAGGAGAGGAGCAGATCAAGGGAAGCCAGTCTTCTCTGCCTCACCAAGGCGATGCCACTCACCACCAAGATGATGCCATTTGCAAAGACCCCAGTGAGGGACTGTATCACTGCCCAGAGAAGAAATATGATGAAGTGAGCCTCTAGCATTTTAAGAAGAGGAAAATCAGTTATTTATTTTTTTAAAGGATGTATAGATTTCAGACAGTGCCAACTATTCACGCTTTCCAGTTTTCTTTCAGCTCCACCAGGACCCCTGTGGATGGCAGTGGAGTAGGAAGGAGTGTGCATTTGTTTATATTGCCACTTTCTCAATTTAGTTCTGAGACAGTCAAATAAGAAAGAGATACTCTGGCAACGATTTGCTTCTTAGTGACGGCTTTTGCATTTTCTGTGTCTACTTAGCTTTCAAAGTCATCACAAGCAAATAGTGGAATCAGACACCTTTAGATCTGCTAGGAAACCAACCCTAGGTACTCAGTCCTCACTCTATCATGAGGGACTAATTGTGGCTACAGATGTGGCTCTACCCAAGGTTACTGAGGCAATGAAGTCCTACAACCAGCAATATAACATGGCTAACCTAAGTAGCAACACTCCAGTCTTCAAAGATTGAACAATTAAGGACAACCCCAAATTTAATCTTTTATATGATAAAATGCAGATGATAAGTCACAAAATGTCATAAAATACAAAAGTAAGATAATTAGGCTAATATGTATGCATAGACATTGGGTCAAAAACCTAAAGGAAGGTGAGGTGTGATAAAGGGACTCACTCAACACCTCTCATACCAGCATCATTTGTAGGATAATTCAAGTATTGAAATATTGTCCCTGCTATTCTTCCAAAATGATGAGAATTGTATGACTTGAGCTGATAGTTCTGGAGGAGAGATAAAGACAAAATAGCACATGATTCAATTTGTGGCTCTAACTGCTTGGCAGACTATGGAAAAATTAAATTAGCATTTATTAACATGCCTACTGTTCACTTTATACCACACCATATGCCTCACCTCAGTCCCACTGATGCTTCTTGGTTGGGGTGGTCTCTGTGCTGTGTAGGATGTCTCCCTCCTCCCCAGCCTCTCCACACTGAATGCCAAAGATACACCCTGCTCCTCAGTTGTGGCAGCCAAATATCTCCAGACACTGCCAAATATCCTGAGTCACAGTCACTCCTGGTGGAGAAGCAAGGCACCAGCCCAGGTGGGTGGAATGCAGCTGTCTTGAAGGCATTCTGAGACAAGGTACCTTGAACCACAGTGGGGTGGGAAATAGCACTGAGCTGGTTCTTAAGACAATCCACCACCACAGCAGGGGTCAATTCATAAACACTGGGAAATCAGCTCTTCCAACCTAGCGCTAGATCCAAACACACCCCACAGACCCATGATGAGGCACATGTGCTTATGAATATGTTTTAAGTATTGTTTGGAGGGGTCAGAAAAACAAATCTTGATGAACCTTCATTTCCACAGAAAACAGGAAGGGAAGCCGTATGGAAATAATTAGGGGGCAAGAGTAAATCTTTGGGCAATTTTATCATTCTTTGAATTTGCAACGTCTGTAATGTGCAGGACTTGACTTTACTTATTCTTGTCACAACTTCAGCAAGATGGTGACAGCCAACAGGAGCATCAAGCAGGCGCTGAGGGAGGCGGCTCCCAGTGGACACCATCAAGAGAGATCCAAGTTCAAGCTTGGCAACAAGATGAGCCTTGTCTTCTCTCTCCAGTGGAAAGAAGGAAGTATCAGAACGTCTTTCCTAAATATGTTACATTTTGCAGACTGGAAAAGCAAAAATGTAAGGGCATCCGCCCATGAAATAAGGATGCCAAGAACTCTCAGAAGGGCAGTTAGCTGTCCTTCCCCAGATTCCCATCAGTCCCTCATTACAAGATTACTTCAAGTGCAAAAACCGGTGATCTGTTTCTGTGCCTGGTGAAATTCAGCATCATTTGTTTTCCACCTCTCTGTTCCTAGACATCCAGGGTTGTGACACAGCATTGTGTCTGTCCCTGTTTGCTCCAATACTGCCAAGACACTGCTGGCCTGGGCCCTGGGGTGCTGTAGCATGGTCTGAGCTCTTCAGTGTTGTAGAAGGAATCACTACTGGGGGAAAGGAGGAAAAAGCACAAGTTCCCTCCCGAGCCTAAAAAACAGTACAGTCTTTCGGCACTGACAGAAAAAGAGAAGATAATGCATGGTTCACCAAAGACTTAAAGCAGCAACTATGTCCAATTCTATTTAAAACATGCTTTTTTAAATCTTTTGAATCCCAGTGTCTTGAGGGCCGTTTGATTCTCAAATAGCCCATTGTACCTTTTGTTACAACCAGCTTGGGGAGCAGAGGCACTTCTTCAGAGGGAGCTTTATTTCGTGTGGAATAGGTCTTCTGATGCAGGGAGCCCTCGGAGCCAAAAGTAAAAACGGATGAGGCTTCAGCTACATTTCATTCATGAAGTGGTTTCCTTCATCTGTCACTTCTGGTGGCACACAGAGAGGCTGCTGAGGGCATGACACTCCTGGACAGGTGTCACCAACCAGCCTCAAATTGCACTTCTTACACGAAAGCCTGGTGGAATAAGAGGTGTCTGCTATGGTTTGGATCTGGAACGTACCCCAGTGTCCATATTGGTGGCTTGTCCCCCAGGCAGCAATGTGCAGAGGTGGGGCTTGAGGGAATGCTTGCATCATGAAGACACTAAATTCATCAAAGGATCAGTCCACTGTGGCTCAATGCACCATGGGCAGGTGGAGGGGATGCTGGAAGTGGGATCTAGAGGAGGAAGGGTCACTGGGGGCGAGCCCTGGGAGGGTTTATCTTGCCTTGGATCCTCTGGCCCTGTCCTCTGCATCTGGCTGCTGGGAGCTGAGCCTCTTTCCTCTACCCTCCCTTCCACCCTGATGGTCTGCCCTGCCTCAGGCCCAGAGCCATGGAGGAGGCTGACCCTGGACTGAAACCTCCTAAACCATGAGCCAAAATCCGTCCTTCCTCTTCTAAGTTGTTTTCACAGTTGTTTGTCACAGTGACAGAAAGCTGGCTAAGACAGTGTTTATGGACTGGGGTGCCACATTTGTGGGACTGCTAAGTGAATGGCCAGTTCACCCCCGGAGCCGCCCTCAGTCCTGGGGTGGCATCTACAAGGACGAGTTCTTCCTTCCCCTTCCGATCCCATCCACCAATCTAAGTTGTCGAAGACACGGGCCATGCTCTTGTGCTAAGCACGAGTAAGCTCAGTGTCTCAATGATCAACAGAATAAACCTAACAAAGCAAAAATGACGCCAAGGATAGAGCCCTTTGGGGTCTCTCAGGCAGTTTGTTTTACGGAGAAGGACTCATCCTAAAGCGGCTGCTTCTGAGATGAAAATCACCAACGTCTGGCTTCACCTGTCAGTCAGTGGCTCGGAGCGTTGACAGTTTTACATGGACAAATGGCTTGGAACAGATGGAACAAGACCCGATGTGGAGAAATTCACATGATTATTACCCCGTATTACCCTGATTAAATTCGTTCACTCGCACTCATCTGTAATGAGCACTCATTAAAGGAGACAGCACTAAATATTCTTGAGGTAGCTGACAGGCGGAAAGAGTTGCTTATTTATATTCAAATCATTTAGCTCCTCAAAAGAAGCTGTGATCTTTTCTGGATGCTGTTAGACTGATTTGGTGAGCTTTTCAGCAGGTAGAAGGCTAAAATATTCATTTTCTGCTTTGCAGCTGCGCACGGACATTGACTTTGATATTATTAGTCATCAGGAAAGTGAGCGATCTTTTCAATACCCTTCCCAACTGGGTCTTCCCACTTCATTATCAGGGGAACAATTTCTGCTTTAAAAAACATATGCACATATTAAGATTATTGTGTATTTAATAAGATCAGTCAAATAAGAACCAAACAGACCCTTGCAAACCAAAGCAGACATTTTTTTTTTTTCTGAGTCTTCTTTGGAACAAGGCTCAGCCCTTATAAAGCCTATATGGAATTTATTCCACTTAAAATTCACAGCATCGTGGTTAAAAAGCACCAGGCACTTTCAGACTAATCGTTCTTTAAATCCACTCGTTTGCTTCTCTCCAGTTGCCTCTGTCGTTGATCTTGTGGGCTAAAATTCCAGTCTTTAATATTCAGGTCACTTCCGTGCACTTGTCCCTTCTCTTCCTCTATTTATCCTAGTAATTTATTTCCTCACTCCATCCAATATTCTGAAATTTATTTGCATTGCAGCAAATAGAGTAACAGAGCAAAGCACGGCCTTGCATTGAAGCCTTACATATAGAGAACTTCAAGTGCCTTACAAACAAGAGTCCCTCGTGGTAATGAAGAAGAAACAGAAGCCAGAGATTCTCACCAGAGGTATCTGAGGCCCTCAGATTTTGTCTTTGGCTCTAAACGGAGTTCCCCTGTGGAATTTCAAATCATTTATTGCTTCTTTCCACCCTCCTCCCACTCCTTCCCCTCTTCTTTCCCTTCCTCCCTCCCATACTTCAGTCCATGTTTATGGTGTGAGGTGGAGACAACAGCTTCCAGGAACAGAGCAGGTCGTAAGGAATAAGTCTGCCATCTGGGGATCTACGCCACGGTGGGGCAGATGAGAACCAAGCAAGTGAAGAGATAGTCATTCCAGGCCAAGTCAACGGGAGTGTGATGTTGGAGAATGTGGTCAGGAAGGGTGATGGGAGGTCTGGGTGGGAGACCTGGGCATGAGCATTCAAGGCAAAGTAGATAGGACCCCCTACCAGCACCATCGAAAAGAGAGTACAAAGCCTTCCAGAAAAATCAAAGGCCAGAACTGTTTTTCCTGGAGCAGAATGAACACAAAAGGAAGCACCAAGGAGAGGAGATTAGAGGGGTAGGCACAGCCAGATCCCCCAGGGCGTGGACCCCAGAAACAGCTGGGTTTTGTCTTCAGCGTGATAGGAGCCCATTGTAAAGTTGGGTGAGGGAAAATTTGTCACAATCAGACCTGTGTTCTGAAACATGTACTCTGACTGCTACCTAAGAACAATCCATTTATTCTGGATAAAATACCTGGAAGTCAGGAGAGAGTAAACATGGGGCAGAAAGACCAAGTTGAAGGCTAGGGTAACGGATCAGGAAAGGGATATTGTGGACCTGAGCTAGGCGTCTGGTGGTGGGAAGAAGCGACTGGATTTGGAATGTAGTTGGAAGGTA